TCAAGTTGGCTGGGGAGAAATGTACGTGTAGGGGAGCAGGGTGGGAACAGCCTGGAAAAGTTGTGAAGGGTTGGCTAGTGGGGGCTTTGTACACCAAGATGAAGATGTTGGACATCTGTGGGAAGGCAAAGGGGAGCGAGGAAAGTTTAGGCTAGTGCTTCGCTCCGACTACTTAGCAAGTTGATCTTCTCCTCCCATATCTTCCGGTATTAGATCTCTCTGACAACCTCCGCAATAAGTTATTACATTCAGTGTCTTAATAATAATAATAATTAATCCCATCGTCTTTTCTTTTGGTAAGGTAGAAGTAAAAAGTTTCTGCTCTAGATATGTGTGCAAAGATTTGAGAAGCAGAAGCTGTGGATCGGAGGTCTGTGTGGATATTTAAGAAAACATAGGTTTACAATGAGGACAGAGGGGAGAGGATGCCAGGTGCTGACACGTTTGTGCTTCATTGTAAAACGCGGATACAAAGCTTCCTCAACGCACCCCAGGAAGCCACACGCTGGAACCTGGTGAGGGGGTCTCTGAAAAATGCATGCTGTGGATAATGGCTCCTATCCGCTAGCTGCCTGGGTTCATTATCTCCCCATAATAGGAGAGGCTCAATTCAAATATGATGAAGTTGTTAAATAGAAGATAAGAAAATGGAAGAAGCGGGGATTTTTTTTTTTTTGATCATTAAAAAAAAATCCAGGTATAATGGAGCATTGTTCGCCATGTCAGACTAATGATGTCCTTTAAAAGAGATGAGGGAAAGGGGAAATTTCATCAGATAGGAAGAGAAATAATTAACTGCCTTTCTTTCTGCCATGCCTTGGTCAGGGAAGCGACATTCCAATTAGGAGCATATAGTACAACACACGGGCCCTCTGGATTTGTAAGGAGGTTTAGGGACAGGTGTCATGATGTTATTCCTGTAGAAACTCATCAAGCATCAAAGTTGCCCTTCTGCACCAATTACATCTGTTCGTTCATGGAGCTTATTAAAATGTTTCATCATAAACCACCTAGATACCTCAGTGTGAGATACTCTAATAAGAGGAAGAAAACATGGATAGAAATGTAATTATTTAGAAGGCTCTAGGCTGCAGGTAAAAAAGAAAAAAAAAGCTCTGGGCCAGAGAAGCCCTGGTGGCACAGTGGTTAAAGCACTCGGCTGCTAACCGAAAGGTCAGTGATTGGAATCGACCGGCTGCTCCGTGGGAAAAAAGTTGTGGCAGTCTGCTTCTAGAATGATTTACAGCCTGGGAAACCCTACGGCAGTTCTATTCTGTCCCACAGGGTCACTATGAGTCAGAATTGACCTAACAGCAGTGGGTTTTGGGATGCTGGCCTGTGATAGGTAACTGCTTAATTAGGTCAGCCTGGGTGAGCTGTGAGTTACACCCAACTGATTCAAATAGTTTTTGCTGTCATGGGTTTGTGTAATGTGATATATTTTCATCTTGGTCTATGGGATCTCTTTACTAGCTGCATGACCATGTGCAAATGAGTTATGCTCTCTGATCCTCAGTTTTTTCCTCTGTACTATGGGTATAGTGTTGTTCCTCGCCATCAGGTCAGTCTGACTCATTACGACCTTCGGTATAACAGGATGAGATGCTGTCTGGTCTTGTGCCTTCTTCATGGTCATTGGCATGTTTGAGCCCATTGCTGTGGCTGTTGCATCAGTCCATCCCATTAAGCGTTTCCCTCATTCATTGACGCTCTACTTTACCAAACATGATAGCCTTGTCTACCCATTGGTCTTTCCTAATGACATGTCTGAAATAAGCAAGCTGAAGTGTCACTATCCTCCCTTCTAAGTAGCTTTCTGGATGTATTTATTCCAAGACTGATTTTCTCATTATTCTGGTAGTCTGATCAGGTTATTGCAAAGATCAAATGGAGTAAGGGTACCCAGTGCCTGGCACCTAGTAACAGCCCCACACATGGTAGTAGCAGTTGTTATTATTGCAAATGAAATTGTAATTAGCCATTCTTGTCTACACACAAATCTCTCTGTTCTCCCACCTTCAGCTGCACCTGCGGCCAGTAGTTTATGTACCCAGCTATTCTTGCCTCTTGTGCATTATTCTCCCCCAAATAGACTGCAAAGTGAACTGGGGCACAGATTATGTCTTATGCCAACACAAGTGGCTACAGGAGCCAGACAAGGAGCAGAAAATAGACTGGGTGTAAGACAAACAGGGAGGAGTGAGGACTCTGGCCAACTCGAGGGTACATGTAGCCCTGGCCATTGTTGCCATGCGGGAATATGGGCCCAGTGTTGCCAGATCTCAGCTTTTTCAAAAGAAGCCAGAAATCCAGATTCTTATGTGAAATGTCCTGAATTTTAAAAGTTGGGCCAATATTGTTCAGGCCAAACAAAGCATGTTTGTGAGCCCTCAGCCTGTGAAAGCTGTTTTACTCCGACAGTTCCTACAAGTTTGTGCATAAGCTCATTATTTGGAACTCTGGACTCATTTTCATAAAGAAACAATACTGTGAATGGCTGTTAGGGGTCCAGGCTAACCTAGCAGGATAATTTTTTATTTACATCAGACCTGAAGCTTAGGACTATCCTAAGAAACCTAATCCCTGCTTGAAGCCATTTTCCCACAGGGAAGCACATTTAGAGTTCTGAGTTATGATGTTAAGAATTCATATTCCAGCATGTAAGCCGTTTCATGACATGGCCTTTGTTTTGTTCACCACCATTTCCTTAATGTCTAGAAGTGGCACGCAGTAAATGTTTGTTGACTTAAAGGTTACTTGTGTCTTTATCCATCTGTTGACCACTGAACTTTTCAGTGCATGCAGGCAAACCCAGTACTTGATAATAATAAGAAATCAATATATATATATATATATAATTTTTATTGTGATTTGGGTGAAAGTTTACAATAAGAGATCAATCAATATTGATTAAGTGAATAAATGACTGAAATAATCCATCAAACATACCATGAGCTCCTATGTGTGCCGTACCATGAGCTCCTACGTGTGCCGAGCAATCTCTGGGCTTCCAGGAGCCAGAGGTAAATCAGATAACATCCTAGCCTCAAGGAGTTTGGTCACCTGGAAAGGATTGCATACATTCCCTTCTGGAACATTTCTCCAAGTCGTCATGAGTTGCTCAGTGTTCCCCTTCCCAGAAGAGGGAGCACGGATGTGATGACAGAGTGCCATTCAGCACCAGGCTTCCTCAGTGATTTGAGTGTCCCCAGGGTGGAATTCATCCACAGGGCTTGACTATGAAGTGATTGAACTGATTTTCTTTCAGCCACACGTTGGAACCCTCACAGCCAAACCAGGGCTGTCCTTTCAAGTGGGCACCTCAGGAGGCTGTGTCCTCATTCCACTCCAGTTACAACATTGCTGGACCATTTCTCTGGCAAGTGCCCTCAGAGAGAGCTAGAAGCTGCTTGAGGACATTTATTTCATTGCTTTAGAATCATGCCTTATATTTTGACCCTCTCCCTCGAAAAAATGACTGGGGATGGGGAGAAAGGTTATTCCAGTCACTTTATATCCACAACTGGGATCCAAATGACTGGGTTGTTTCCTAAAATCCAGTTCATGATCAAAGAAGAAATGGTTTCCCCTGGTGAGTTCACTGAGTAGTATGTGACGCAGGCTTTTGAGGCAGGGTCCAAAGAGAAGTCCCCCAAATGCTGTATGCTACAGCAGTTTTGTTGGAAGAAGTGTTTAACCTTCCAGCATGTCCATGATAATAAAGAAGGCAAGATTTGTTTGCATATCTAAGTTCTGATGTTTGGAGTAAAGGGGGAAAGGGGCAAGGATATCAATATATCAATTTACATTTACAGTTCCAGTGTCTAGCACACAGTCCATACATATAGGTACCCACACTGTTTCATGGAGAGGAAGGATGGGTGGTAATGAGGTCAAACATCTACTATACACTTACCTTGTTCCAGCTACTGCACCAAGTACATGTCACACATTATCCCATCTGGTCTTCGCAACAACCTCATGAAGCAGTTAGAGTTGTTACTTTGAAAAGGAAACTGAGGCTGAAGGTCAAGCCACTTGACCCAGGACCGCAAAACCAGTGAGTGGCAAGGCTGGGATTTGAACCCAGGTGAAGAGAGTTCCTACTCTTAACTCCTAAGCTATACTCGTGAGAAGGGAATGGTATAGAATCGTATAATCCTAGTACAGCAGATGAGAAGACAACCCTAAAGAAGTAAGGAGGTTTCTTTCCCCAACTAAGACCACAAAACTCCCTTCAGTTGACATGACAGTGGCTGTTCATCTACAGCCAGCCTCTCCTTGGTCATTTATTTTCCCACACCATCCCACTGTTTGTGTTAGCCAAGACAAAGCCTCTATAAAGGATGTTAACACCAGCATCCTTTCCTTTTGAAATCCCTTGCCATTAGAAATGGCTACACAAGGGAGTGTATGGTCTGAGGTCTGGCTGACTGGGGTACTTGCAAAGCCCAGAAGAGTTTTTGGAGCTGGGGAGCTACTCTACCCAGAAAGGAGCTCTGATGGCACAGTGGTTAAGGCATTCAGCTGCTAACCAAAAGGTTGGTGGATTGAACTCACCCAGCCACTCCGCAGGAGAAAGACGAGGCAGTCTGCTGTAAAGATTGACGGCCTTGGAAAGTCTATGGAGGCAGTTCCACTCAGCCCTGTAGGGTGTATATGAGTCAGAATCAACTTGTTGGCAGTGAGTTTGTTTGTTTTTTTTGGATCTACCCAGAATGTGGCCAGACCAATGACAGCACAAGGGAGAGTGACTGGCAATTTGGGCTGGAAAAGTGACCTGAGGTCTTACCCAGAAGGGCCAGGGAGTTTGATCTCTGCTGACCTACCAACTCAGTGCATGATGCTGGGCAGCATGCCTTGGGTTCCTGAGCCTCAGTTTCCCCATGTGCACAAACAGAGCTATTTCCAAGGTCTGTCCAGCTCCAGGACTGGGAAGAATGGGCTTTTCTTGCTAGGGCACCTGAGTGACCGTTGCTCACTGGCCATTTATTCCCCAGGCTGGAGGAGAACTACGAGATTGCTGAAGGGGTCTGCATTCCTCGGAGTGCCCTCTACATGCATTATCTGGACTTCTGCGAGAAGAACGACACGCAGCCTGTCAATGCTGCCAGCTTCGGGAAGGTGAGGCTAGCCCCCCACGTTTATGGCTGTTTCCTCTCTTAAGGAATTTATGCACAGTTGCGAATCATTTAAAAGCCTCTCACTTTTTAATTTCAATTAGCAAAGTAAAAACTGACCTGCTGCAACAAAAATTCAGACAACTCAGAAATCTTACAAAACTGAATGTCACCCTGAACCACCATAATATTTAATTTACATAATGTACCTTTTTTTCTCTCTCTCTCTGAGAGTCATATATTGAACTCACAAGTGTCTTGTAGGAAATGTCAGTGAGCCTGAGACAAGCAAACTGCTTAGTTGAGAATTGGCACCACTTGAAAAATGGGAAGAGGCTCTGTGGTACCTTAGGGAGGGAAAATACTTTTGTGAGGCCTGGGGGAAACGAGGATATGCCCTTTTATCATTAGAGTTGAGGTTTGAGAGTCCTCGCTGGGAGAGGTACGATTTGAAATATTACAGGGGGCCGACTGTTCCCTACCCACCTTGCGACATATTCCATACACAGGACTATGTGTACAAAAAATTATCCTCACTAAGCCTTCAATTTAATAGAGCAAAGGAAGCTGTTGGGGCATTCTCTGAGAATGATAATTCATTTGATGGATCAAAATCTAGATTTTATGCCAAAAAGTATCCAATTTAAATTGAGTCAATGCATTTCAACTCTCTCTCCTTTTATTAGCTTCTTCTTCTTCTTTTTTTTTTTTTTTCTGGATCTGCTTGCAAAAAAAATTTCCTAGGTGGTGCAAAGGAGCCCTGGTGGTGTAGTGCCTACGGCATCTGACTGCTAATCAGAGGGCTGGCGGTTCAAACCCACCAGCCACTCCTCAGGAGGAAGGTTGGGCAATCTACTTCCACAGTGATATTGCCTCAGAAACCCAAGGAGGGGCCGCTATGAGTCGGGTCCCACTTGAGGGCACATAACAACAACAACTAACCCAAATGCTGGTGGCGGTTTGAACCCACCCAGAGGCAATGTGGGAGCAAGGCCTAGAAATCTGCTTCAGTGAAGATTTCAGCCGAGAAAACCGTCTGCAGCACAGCTGAGCCCTGCAACACATGGGGTGGCTGTAGTGGGAATCCACCGGGCAGCAGCGAGTTTGGCTAGCTTCTGTTTGTGTTGTGTTTTTGTTGTTGGTTATTTTTGTTTTGTTTTGTTTCTTGGCTAACAAAAAATAGGCTTATTCGGCCACCTGTATGCCTCACCAGTTTTCTGAGTGCACGTGTGAAAGGACTGAAATGGCAGAAAGACATTAGCATCGTAAAGTTCAGGAATCCCGTTTTCAGACACCCGACGCATAGATCAGCTGCAGCGACAAAGAAAAAAAAAGAGCAGTGTCAGACTGGAGCCAAGTGCCCTGGAGCGCCCCAGCGCTGGCTGGCTGAGAACTGGCGCCGCTCGGAAACTGGGGAGAGGCTCTGCGGTGCCGTAGGGAGGGGGGAATACTTTTGTGAGGCACTAACGCTGTTTCTCTTAAATGAAAAGTATTTAGATTCAACGTCAATGGAGAAACCACCTCTGCTATGTCATTCATCCATTTCCTCAGCCCAGCGCTATTTGATGAGACAGGCTGTGTGGCGCGGACTGTGTTAGGCAGCGGGGACAGACAGAGGCAGTATGGGCCCTGCTGTGGACGGGGCTCACAGTCTAGGAGGAACTTGCCTCCTTGGTGGGTGGAGGGAGGAAGTGCTGCTGCACCATGAGCATGTGAGTAACAGAGCTCTGTCAGGGGTCCGCCGGCCTGGAGCGTGCGCTCACATCCGCACGCGCACACGTGCCCTCGTGGTTGCCGTGACAGAGGCTCCAGGTAAGGCCTCTCAGATGCAGAGACCAGGAGTTCCGGCTCTCCCGGACCTGTAGCTTAGCCTCTCTCGGCCTCAGCCGCCTCAGCTGTGAAATGGGGAATGAACCCCAATACCCCCCCTCAGAGTGTGGGGCAAGGTTCAAGAGAGACAACGGCAGTGGGGTGATGGAAGGCACTGTTCACTCAGTCAGCCAGTAGCTTAAAAAAAAAAAAAAAAAAACACCAATGATTTCTCTAGGACTCACATGGTTCCTGGCATTTGCAGGAGGAACTTCTTACATACAAAAAAAAAAAAACACCAAACTCGCTGCTGTGGAGTCATTGCTGACTCATAGCCCCTCCTTGGGTTTCCGAGGCAGCATCTCTATGCAAGTACATTGCCCAGTCTTCCTTCCCAGGAGTGGCTGATGGGTTTGAACCGCCAGCCTTCTGGTTAGCAGTCAAATGCCTTAGGCACTACACCACCACAGCTCCCATTAACTTGGTAGATATTTATTAAGCAGTGACCACTTGCCATTACAACTCTTGGAATTCATTGTTATGAGATGTTAATAGCCTTTTGTTAGCTTAGATTCTGCAAAAAAAAAAAAACCCTCACCATTTCTAGACACTCCAATTTGCCTATGCGAAGCCCTTCTTTCCTTTGTTTTCAAAGACTTTTGTAACCCTGTTGTCAGCTGGGGGTCTCATTGACCTCATAATCTAGGTAAAATTGGGTTAGCCACATCCTTGTTCTGTTCCCATTTTAAGACTCAAGCCTACCTAAAGATCTTGGCAAATGCCAGGGCGACCTTGATGTGGGATTTCACCTTCCACATATACCACCTCTTCTCTACACCTGTACGGTTCAGTACAGCAGCCACTAGCTACCTGTGGCATCATAACTTCAAATTAAGCAAAATAGAAAATTCTGTCCCTCAGTCACACTAGCCACATTTCAGGTACACCCACTTCTAACTTATCAACGTCATTAGTCATTAGTCACTATGGGAAAATCAGCATTACGCAAAAATGGAAAATGACCACATCAGATCACAAAATGGGGGATGATGACATCATTACATAACTGCCAAATTACATCGTTGCATAATTGCCAAACCACTGAGAATCAGGGCCCAGCCAAACTGACACATAACCTAATCCATCACAGCCAGTGTTAACTCTCGCCTCACACCTAGGCGTTCATTACTGCCAGACGTGTATCGTTAATGTGAAAAATAGTTGAGTGGTATATCTTTTACTATTGTAAATGCAAAATGTCAGATAATGAGATATTCAGTAAGCGAGGCGTGTTAGTTGTTGTGTTGTTAGGTGCGGTTGAGTTGGCTTTGACTTACAGCAACCCCTACGTACAACAGAACGAAACACTGCCGGGTCCTGCGCCAGCCTCACAATCCTTGCTATACCTGAGCCCATTGTTATAGCCACTGTGTCAGTCTATCTCGGTGAGGGCCTTCCCCTTTTTCACTGACCCTCCACATTACCAAGTATGATATCCCTCTCCAGGGAATGGTCCCTTCTGACAACATGACCAAAGTAGGTGAGACCAAGTCTGGTCATTCTTGCTTCCAAGGAGCATTCTGGCTACACTTCCTCCAGGACAGATTTGTTAGTGCTTCTGGCAGTCCATGGTATTTTCAGTATTCTTCGCCAACACGGCAACTCAAAAGCATCAACTCTTCTTCAGTCTTCCTTATTTGTTGTCCAGCTTTCTCATGCACATGAGGCGATTGAAAACAGTGGCCTGAGTCAGGCGCACCCTAGTCTTCAAACAAGGAGTACGTGTGCTCAATTACCATGTGTGGCCAAGGACTACCATATTAGACACTACAAAACAGAACATTTCAATCATCACAGAGGGTTCTTTATTGTGGTAAGCCATGGGTGAAACAGCCTTCTCTTTGCTTTTCACAAGGCAGTCTACAGAGAGCAGTTGTGAACCTGGGAGAGTGAAGTTTGTGGGAGGGTTTGCTTCCCTCATTCCCATCTCAAAATGCCACTCAGCCTCCCCACGGCTCTGGAGGCTGGTCCTCCACCTTCTAGCTCCCCACAGCTCGTCCCAGCCACGCTCTGCTCTGCTCTGCCCCCTTCCCTCCTCCGCCACCGCCTCCTCTACCTCCCTCTGCTTCCCTTCGCTTTTCTCTCCCCCCCCCCTTCCTGGGACAACCTCCACCAAATGTCCTCTGCTTTCTGACCATTGGTGCCTGCTGACACCTGTGTCCACAGGTCACTTACCCCAAATAGCTTTTCAAAACATTTTTCTAAATACTAACAGTTTCCTCCCTAAGAAGAATTACAGAGCCAGCTGTTTCCAAAATAGTCATTAAAAAAAAAAAAAAAGCATCCAAACTCCATCTTGTCTTCAGTCCAAAAGCAAGGAAATACTCTAATGATATTAAAAGCACAATTGCGGAAGCTCGTTGCAGATGCTGGACCGTCAATTTCAAACACTGGGAATCGGGGCTGTCCTTCCAGCCATGAGGACAGGAGGTGCCCACTGTGGGTTTCCACACTGAGCTTGTTGATTGAAATCCCAGACACATTTGCCCTTCCCGAGGGCTCTCAGCACGCTGCAGCTGCCCTCTTCTTAAGAGAAAGGGACTAGTTGTTCTGGGAGAACTTGGGGTGTAATCGCAGACAGTCTTCCTTTGAGCAGATCCGTCCGACCTTATGATTCATCTATGAACTTTTAACTCAGAGCATGTGAGGTTCAATATTTCA